TATTTATATTAATTAAATAATTTTATAATTATTGATTACATGGTTTTATATTTACATTTCATAATTATATTAATTACATAAGTTCCTTTTCTCAATAAGTGTGCATACATATTGTATTTTGATTAAATCAATGATATCTTTGGATGTTCAATATATGTTTAATGAAGAAGTAATAATACAGTTTTGGTTTAAGGTTGAGACTACCATCTGTAATCATAAATCATGATTATCAACCAGTCCCCTCTAGAGAAATGTGAGACTGTAGGTACTGTTAGTTATGCATAACACTGTATTTTTCTAGATTCCTCAACCAGATCTCATATGCCATAGCCTACTATGGTATAGAATATAATAAAATCTTTGAACTATTTAATCACATGTATATCAATTTTTTAAATGAACTTAATATTTTAAGTATACTTAAAAAGAACTTACTTAATAACTATATATCAAACAAAATATTTGGGAAGAAAAAATAGAACTTATGAGATGTTAAAAAATTAGTAGTGATTATAGTTTTAAAAAGTGTGTCTTGTTAAGAGGAAGCAAAAGAATTGAAAATACCAGTTGATTCCATTTCCTTTAAAAATAAAATAGGGATGAGGCATAAGGATAAAAATTAGTTAGTTTGGGTACATGTCAGTCTTTAATAACAGAACTCAGCACTACAACTTAAATAAGATATAAGTAGGTATCTGATATAGTTCCATTTTGCTGCCTTTTGCAGATGCCCTGTGGCATGGTATTCTCTTTCTATACACTAGGGGGAAGTGTAACATAATTACTCTGGAAAGGGTGGTGGGCAAATTCTCTATGAGGATGTATTATCACTGGTCTCTTCCCAGGCACTGTATTTCCCCCCTCATTTGTGTAACAGCACATTTATTCAGGGCTAATCAATAAGCCATGTTCCCCTTTCCTTGAATTTTTTCCTTCTGTTATTGTAAACCAAATAAAGATATTTTATGACTTTCCCTGAATAAGTATATAATGCAAAAAAGCCATAGGTTTGTCATATTAAAAAAAGTAATGATTAATAAAGGAGTGTGTAATTACTACTCTTTATTTAAGTTAGCTGCTGCTTTTAAAGCATCAAAGCCTCAGCTTCCGAGATACACACACGTATGGGTACAGAGATACCAAGCCAAAGAATATACAAAGGTGAGGTTTCACAAAGCAGCATGTTTAGGCACTCACTCAGCAAAACAACCCAGGTTTCTACAAAGCTCTAGCTTCTGTGTTTATCAAAGATATGTGCACAAACTACCTATTTAGAAAATACAAAGACATTTTAGGATTTGAAGGTCTGGCTATAAAGAGCGCCTCTTAGAATTTTTAAATTATTAAAGATATCTCTTAAAAGAGTGGTGAATTTTGGATTCCCATAAGACTGTAAACTCAGACTACAAGTTATCTCATTGAATCCTCCAGGAAATAAATAGCTCCTTTACTTGAATCTTTAAGCAATTATCCCAACAACAATCATCAGAACTTTCTGTAATTGGTCTGGATTTGATTTTCTTTGAATCCTGAATGATTCATGTTAGAGACTTGTACGTTAGTCATTCACAATTTATAAATGGCAACTTAACTTTAGTATTTATGAATTGTGATCAATACTCTAGCAATCAAAACACTCACCTTTTCTATTTCAATACTTCAATTTTCTTTTTCCTTCTTAACTCTTTCCTAGAACCGCAGGATCGGGAACAAACCAGTCTTCACTCGTGGATGTTTGTGATAATAGTTTGGGAAAAAGGAATCTCTGAGATTAGAAACTGAAGTTGACAATGTAAATGAAGCAGGAGCCTGTGTGTGTGTGTGTGTGTGTGTGTGTGTGTGTTGGGTATGTGTGTGTGTGTGTGAGAGAGAGAGAGAGAGAGAAAGGTGGTAGTAGTAGTGGTGGTGGTGGTGTTACTTAGAAAACATGAATCTTAACAGATGTCCCACTGATCTGCCTTTCACTTTCCGCTCAGCTTTTATGCATAGGAGCTTTGGCAAATGTGATTATCTACACTTATTTGGTTGAGATAAAATGGTTCAGATAGCCATACAGAACTTCAATAACAAGAGCGAGTAACAAAACCGGAAAACGTGTGTGTGTGCGCGCGCGCGTGCGCGCACGCGCGCACATACTTTGTGGGGTGTCCGCTTTACCTTAAATCTGGACTGAGCTGAGGGTGACTGAGAAGGGTAGAGTCCTAAGTATTACTTAGCTAGATTTCAGCTTTAACAAACTACAAAGATTGAATCGACAGTGAGCCTTTCTCCTTAAAGGAGAGGAGATTTCCCCTGGGGAGACACGGCCTCTCTTTCACTGGGCTTCTGCTTTTCTTCTGAAACACTTTCATAATCAAGTGACTTTCCTTGCATGGGTGCCTGGGGACAGCTGATTTTTCTCCGAGGATAAAGAAAGTTACATATTGATTGCTGTTGCTCCGGGTATGTTTGCACCAGCTCCGGCTGAAGCGGGCGCGCGAGCGCCCTCGCATTCACACACACTCGCTGAAATACACATTACATCCCCCCAGAAACACACACACACACACACACACACACACACACACTCTCTCTCTCTCTCTCTCTCTCTCTCTCCACTCGCGCGAGTACACACACACACACACACACACACACACATCCCTCTGCACCACATTCAGACATATCCACAAGCAGCCAGAATATCTGCTCTTCTCTTGTTTGGTGCCTGTGTGTGTGTGTGTGTGTGTGTGTGTGTGTGTGTACAGAACCCATCGGGAAGACCGCAGCTACCTTATTCTGCAAGCACGCTGCGATTCAGGTTCCTGTGTACATGGAGAAAAAAAAATAATAAATCGCTATCAAACTTTTTTTTCCTTTTAATTCTCCTTTGTCTGGAGGAAAACGGTGGAGGAGCTTCTCCCATTAGTTAAAGACTCGGGAGACCCGGCGACGAGGGAGTAGGTGCCGCCGCCAAGGCGGAGAGCGGGCCTCCGGTAGCGGAGCTGGTCTCCCATCTAACTGATCTAATCAATGACTCTGAAGAGCTGAGGCTCCTGGCTCCGCCCCCGCCAGTCTCTTTGCCGCCTCCTATTGGGTGTGGGCCGAGGAGGCAGGGCCTTGTTCCTCACGCGGATTGGCTGGCAGGGAATCAGTATCAATGTTTAAGCGGCGGCGTGAGGTGAATAGAGTCAGTCAGCAAGAGGCGCTGGGGAGAGAGCTGGGACTGTGAGCCCGGCGGATGCAGCAACGGCGGAGGGTGGCTGGGGAGACGCTACTCCAACTGTTGAATTTTCACCTTTCATTTCCTCCGATGCTTTGCTTGCGGAGATGGATTTATTTGCTTTGAAATCCGCACGTCTTTCGCAGGCTATGAGCTGATTCTGACAGGCACCAGATTAAAAGCGACCACCCGTGACAGAAAAGGAGAAAAAAAAAAAAAAAAAAAAAAAAACCTCCACAACGGACTGCACAATTAACTATGCACACCGGTGCTGGACTTTGTGAATAGAGAACATTGAGAGGAAAATCATGAACTATGATGCGGGGCTAAGCTGTGAACAGTCACTGGAATCCTCATTTTTTTTTCCTTTTCTTTTGTTTTTTTCAAGACTCTGAAAGATTTGGGGTTTCCTCACGCCTCGTCAAAAGGAAAGGTGTTTTTTTTTTCTTAAATAAATAAAAAAATAAATACACCTAGCAAAACAGACGCCTTGTTTTCCAGACCCTCGGACCCCGGCAGAAAGAGGTAGAGTAAAAGTGCTGCTGGATTCAGCTACACCTTCCTCCTTCCCTCCCTCCCTTTTCTCTCGCTTTTTCTTTTCCTCCAAGACATGAATCTGGCTTTTCTTTCTATAGAGTGAGTCAGAGAGAACGCGTTAGGAAGAAGCCGCAACTAATGTCTGTGAAGGGAGGACCATGAGGCGAGAGTGAATTCGATTCGTTCCACTGCTTCTGACTCATCGGGCAGATCGGAACACCTGCATTTCTGGATGTGTCATTCCCGTATGTCGAGGCGCCTCGAGAACCCGAAATAATGTGTAGACAGACCTGTGCCTAACATCCCCTCGGAGGTTGCTCTCGGGGGGGGGGTGGGCGCCCCTGACTGGACCGCCGCGGCCGCAGCTCCTCACCCCTGCCCTCCTCGAATCGCCCAGAGAGACTGTGTGAGAGCGAGACTGCAGAATGCATCACGCCAAACCTTGATGTGTTTCTTTCATCCAGCCCACTCCTACTATTAAAAAAAAAAAAAAAAATTGACGGGGAAAAAAAAAACAAAACCCGCACTTTATTCGCTTCAGATATTCACCACTTCTATTCCTCGCCAAGGTTTTCCTTTCTAGATGAAGAGGACTGGGAGGCAGGGCCATTGGAAGGAGATGCTGAATAGAAAGAAAAGAGAGGCACTTGACAGCCCAGCCCTGTGAATGCAGAGACTGTTTCCCTTCTAGCGAGAGACAGGGAGAGTGTGTGTGCGAGGACTGGGAGGGTGGCTCCCCCTTCCTTTTTATTTCGGCTCCCCCTCCCCCCTTCAAATCTGCACATCCAACCATGAGTTGCCTGTTGATTTCCTTTCGCCTGGGAAGAAAAGCAAACTGGAATTAAACTGCATCGAGAGAAGTCCTTGCTCTCGCGGAGAGAATGGGATGGTAGCGGCGGCTACTGGCTTGGCATAGAGAAATCACACAGAGTGTGTGTTCTACGAACAGAGGCGGAGAGAGCTACATACGCCCCCCCCCCCCCCCCATAGACTCACGCCGCAAACGCTGATCTGGCTGTGGCTTTCCTGACTTCGGGGGAGAGCCTTTTCCGAGGAAGAGAGGGAGGAGCCTGGTGGAGGGAGGAAACTACATATCGGGACACTAGTTCTTTGCGCTGCATTTCCTCCCCTCCCTTTGACTGCTCGGAAAGGAGAGAGAGGAAAAAAATACGCTTGGCTGGGAGATGCAGTCCGCTGCCGCCTCTGCCTCAGCCAGCAATGCAAGATTAGATCTCTAAATGCAGCAAAACACTGCCTGAAAACCGAACAGCCCGCGAAGCCAGCAGACATTTCACCGGGCTCCGGCGAAGATTCAAAATATATCAGATTCTCTCTCCGTTGCTCCTCGTCCCCATCAATTTCATCACAGGAGACGGGAAACAAGTAAGGATTTCACTTTCCCATCTGCCTCAAGACACACCTCCCCGCTCCCTCCCCCACCCGATGTGAAGAGTATTCCGGTGGCTACCGCGGGAGTGGATTTGCAGCGCCCTAGCGGGAGCCAGGAAAATCTACCGATTCTTCACCACCCCTTCTAGACGCGATTTCCATCTTATCGCTGGCCTCACCGCTCAACTTTGAGTCGCCCCTAGTCCCGGCGGAAGAGACAAAGCCCTGGGCTCGCCCCCAGCCGCAGGGAGCCGCCGCCTTGCTCCGTGCCCCTGCAGCTTCGCTGCGCCGCCGCTTCTCGCCCAGTGCGGATGCTGTAGATCAACAGGTTCGGGGAACTTGAGCTGAATAAGGAGACCGCCGGGTGCCGCAGCCCAGGAGCAGAGGGAAGGAAGGACCCACAGACTTGTGGCTCGTGTCGCGCGCGCACGCTGCGCCCGAGCCCCAGGCTGGCGCGCTCCCACTCGCTCGCCCCTCCAGTCCGGCTGCTCCTGCCCCCACCTCACCGGTCTGGGATGTACCTTTCCATCTGTTGCTGTTTCCTCCTATGGGCCCCTGCCCTGACGCTCAAAAACCTCAACTACTCGGTGCCGGAGGAACAAGGGGCCGGCACGGTGATCGGCAACATCGGCAAGGATGCTCGACTGCAGCCGGGGCTTCCGCCCGCAGAGCGCGGTGGCGGTGGCGGCGGCGGGCGAAGCAAGTCGGGTAGCTACCGGGTGCTGGAGAACTCAGCGCCGCACCTGCTGGACGTGGACGCGGACAGCGGGCTCCTCTACACCAAGCAGCGCATCGACCGTGAGTCCCTGTGCCGCCACAACGCCAAGTGCCAGCTGTCCCTCGAGGTGTTCGCCAACGACAAGGAAATCTGCATGATCAAGGTGGAGATCCAGGACATCAACGACAATGCCCCCTCCTTCCCCTCGGACCAGATTGAGATGGACATCTCGGAGAACGCAGCGCCTGGCACCCGCTTCCCTCTCACCAGTGCACATGACCCGGACGCCGGCGAGAATGGGCTCCGCACCTATCTGCTGACGCGCGACGACCACGGGCTCTTCGCGCTGGACGTCAAGTCCCGCGGCGACGGCACCAAGTTCCCAGAGCTGGTAATCCAGAAGGCGCTGGACCGCGAGCAGCAGAACCACCACACGCTTGTACTGACCGCCCTAGACGGCGGCGATCCGCCGCGATCCGCCACTGTGCAAATCAACGTGAAGGTGATAGACTCTAACGACAACAGCCCGGTCTTCGAGGCGCCCTCCTACCTGGTGGAGCTGCCAGAGAATGCCCCACTGGGCACCGTGGTCATTGATCTGAACGCCACCGACGCCGACGAGGGTCCCAATGGTGAAGTACTCTATTCCTTCAGCAGCTATGTGCCTGACCGCGTAAGGGAGCTCTTCTCCATCGACCCCAAGACCGGCCTGATTCGTGTCAAGGGCAACCTGGACTATGAGGAGAATGGGATGCTGGAGATCGACGTACAGGCCCGAGACTTGGGGCCCAACCCCATCCCGGCCCACTGCAAGGTCACTGTCAAGCTCATCGACCGCAACGACAACGCGCCGTCCATCGGTTTCGTCTCCGTGCGCCAGGGGGCGCTGAGCGAGGCCGCCCCGCCCGGCACCGTCATAGCCCTAGTGCGGGTCACTGACCGGGACTCGGGCAAGAACGGGCAGCTGCAGTGCAGGGTGCTGGGCGGAGGGGGGACCGGCGGCGGCGGCGGCCTGGGCGGGCCCGGAGGTTCTGTGCCCTTCAAGCTTGAGGAGAACTATGACAACTTCTACACGGTGGTGACTGACCGCCCGCTGGACCGCGAGACCCAGGACGAGTACAACGTGACAATCGTGGCTCGGGACGGGGGCTTGCCTCCTCTCAACTCCACCAAGTCGTTCGCTGTCAAGATTCTGGACGAGAACGACAACCCTCCTCGTTTCACCAAGGGACTCTATGTGCTGCAGGTGCACGAAAACAACATCCCAGGAGAGTATCTGGGCTCCGTGCTTGCCCAGGATCCCGACCTGGGCCAAAACGGCACAGTGTCCTACTCCATCCTGCCCTCGCACATCGGCGACGTGTCCATCTACACCTATGTGTCTGTGAATCCCACCAATGGGGCCATCTACGCCCTGCGCTCCTTTAACTACGAGCAGACCAAGGCTTTCGAGTTCAAGGTGCTTGCTAAGGACTCGGGGGCGCCCGCGCACTTGGAGAGCAACGCGACTGTGAGGGTGACAGTGCTAGACGTGAATGACAACGCGCCGGTGATCGTGCTGCCCACGCTGCAGAACGACACGGCCGAGCTGCAAGTCCCGCGCAACGCTGGCCTGGGCTACCTGGTGAGCACTGTACGCGCCCTAGACAGTGACTTCGGCGAGAGTGGGCGCCTCACCTACGAGATCGTAGACGGAAACGACGACCACCTGTTTGAAATCGATCCCTCCAGCGGCGAGATCCGCACGCTGCACCCCTTCTGGGAGGACGTGACGCCAGTGGTGGAGCTGGTAGTGAAGGTGACTGACCACGGGAAGCCCACCCTGTCGGCGGTGGCCAAGCTCATCATCCGCTCGGTGAGCGGCTCCTTGCCCGAAGGCGTTCCCCGGGTAAACGGCGAGCAGCACCACTGGGACATGTCGCTGCCGCTCATCGTGACTCTAAGCACTATCTCCATCATTCTCCTAGCGGCAATGATCACCATTGCCGTCAAGTGCAAGCGCGAGAACAAGGAGATTCGCACTTACAACTGCCGCATCGCCGAGTACAGCCATCCGCAGCTGGGCGGGGGCAAGGGCAAGAAGAAAAAGATCAACAAAAACGATATTATGCTGGTGCAGAGCGAGGTGGAAGAGAGGAACGCCATGAACGTCATGAATGTGGTGAGCAGCCCCTCCCTGGCCACCTCCCCTATGTACTTCGACTACCAGACCCGCCTGCCCCTTAGCTCGCCCCGGTCGGAGGTGATGTATCTCAAACCGGCCTCCAACAACCTGACTGTTCCTCAGGGGCACGCGGGCTGCCACACGAGCTTCACCGGACAAGGGACTAATGCGAGCGAGACCCCTGCCACTCGGATGTCCATAATTCAGGTAAGAGACTTTTAGCCTAACTGGGACTTGACTTTATTGCTGGTTTTTGGAGCTGTCCTGAAACCTTTGGAGCAGGACAAAGCCACACTGCCAGCAGCAGTGAGAGGGAAACATTTTTAAGTGAAAATGGTTTACACTTTTGCCACCACGTGTACAACATATTCTATACATAACCCCTCCCATGTAAATAGTCTAAAATCTAAAAGGTGTGAATGTCTTACTTTTGTTGTATTTTAAAGTTTATTTTTGTAGGCTTAAAATGTTAGCAGTGTTCACTATTTAGAGTTTATTTTACTTTAGTTTTATTCATGGGTCTACATTTCTCTCCATAACAAAAGATTCCCAGAGTAGGAAAGAAAACATTTTAGTTAAATTTGCTTTTTGATTCTGTTTAAAAAATCTGATGCCAAAAAGGAAAGAAATGTATACTTAAATACTCAGAAGTTAACTTTTTCAAGAACAAAAATAGCAACTAGTCAGAATTCCAGACCCTGAATCTGAGCTAAGTTTTCTGTTCTCCACCAGAAAAGTAAGTTTTATATTTTAAAAAGCGTTTTAAAGAATTTGAATCTGATTTATTCTTTACAGCAGAAACTGCATCATGAGGTCTTAGCATAGTTTAAACTTCTAATATGTGAATTATGCTCTGAAGCTCTTTCAAAAGTTTGAATGAATGTAGGCTCTGGATAATGACCATTACCTGTCTATGAAAAGTTTATATTTATTTTGTCCTGATCTGTTTCTTAGAGTCATTGAGGAAAGAAAAGAGTGCACCAGAAGGTCACAGACTCACTTTATATGGTTGAAAACAGGAGGCAAAGTTGGCAGTAAAGGCACTTGATGCACCAAAAAGAATTTCAGGATGCATTTAGTTTGTGTACTGTGTATTTTCAGTATCTCTACGTGGTATTTAATATATTTTAGATAGTATAATGCAAAGTTATTGATATATTTTCAAAAAAAAATCCTAGATGACTGACCCATCATGGACATAGATTCTAACAATAGCTGGTGACTGTACTTTGTCTAGTCACTCCCTAGCTTCTTTTATCCACTATTAAGTTGTGTCACAGAAAAACTTAATTCTTGCTTATTATAAATGCATGTTGCTACAAATTACTCTGGATGAGCACTACTTGAAATTCAAAATTGAGTTTAACTAAAAGTGACACTTTGGGAGGAAGATTAGTTTGGGGCAAATGAAGATAATTGGTTCATAATTTTATGCTTTGAAAAGCAAATACCTTTTAATGACACTTGACTCAGTAATGTTTTTATTATTAAAATGAATAGTAAAATTTCATAACCTTATCCTTTCTAACATAAGGATAGAAAATGCTAAAAAGTTAGTAAAATGTATTTTCTTATAATAATATAATGTCCTTGTAAAACAGAGTCTTCTACTTGATGCTACTGAATACTTAAGTATCGATTGTAATATTAAATCCCACTTTTAATGGTGTCTACTGTATACCAGTAATCATGATTTTTTTTGTTGTCTATAAAAGATTGAGCAAGAAATATATCCCTTGAAAAATATTGTGGTCTCTATGAAAGTCTTTCTGTGACTGCGTACTGGAATTTATGATAATCTCTTTAGGGAGGTATGTTGAAGTATGTATTTATAGATCTTTTGCAGTCATTTTATATATATACATATGTTAAATACCTATTTTCTATTTTCACCATTGACAGTTACAGACATATCACAGAGTTAATGTTTAATCTTCCATTTCAAGTGCTTTCAGTTGAATTCTTATTTAGGTTCCAGTAAAAATGAAGTAGGTACAGTAGAATGTCAGCAAGCCTGGTTCCTCGGTCAGATTAGTGAGGAACAAATTTGAATGGAAGTATCCAGAAGGTTTCAAGGGACAGGGGTGCCTATATTGTATTTACACCATGCTGTTCTTTAAGCTCTTCATTGCTTAAGGAACGGATGATGGTGTTGGTGATGATGGTGATGATGATGATAATGATGATGATGATGATGATTCCTCTCAGCAGTAAAACCTAAGCCAAAGCGAATCTTACACGTGCAGGGAAAGAGACAGAAAATTTTAAAAGAAAACAAGACAAACTTCCTTGTCATTCCCTTTCTTCTAGAATCTTAATCCATGCCATAAAAACACAGAAAAACTTTCAGTTTTAAGTTCTTGAAATTTTTCCAAGGTGACTCAATGTTGCATATTGTTCCTGCTCTAGAAATATCCTCAATTTAAACTGTCAAAACAGGCACTCCTCTTCCTCTTCTTCCCCACCCCCTCACTGGGTTTTTGCAGTCTTATAAAGAATGCTTTGTAAATTCCTAATATGTTAATTTTCTCTTAAATATATATCACGTTCTTCTCAGTACCCACTGTTGAGAACAGAGTAAATTAACTATAGTGACCCTCCTTCCCTCTTTTTCTTTAAACTAGCGTGCTGCAAGCACTTTGTGCTCAAGTGACATGCTTAAATTCAAGTGCCCAGGTATCCATAACCTTGTTTTGAAGTGCATTTATTAATGTGTATATTTAACACAGCCTGCTAAGGAAACACACTACTAATCTCACTTGTACTTCTGAAAGTAGTATTTTAATCCATGGAGTGCACTTGGACTAGCACCTACTAAGTCTGCTTTAGCTTTATTTTCCAGCATGTTTGTGCTGTTTAGAAGGTGCACAGTGTATTTCTATTGATGGAGTGAAACGTATTTCGTCATTGTTTTGATATACACTGGTATGAAATTTAAGAATTTCAGGATGTAGAAAACTCATATTGCAGCTTAAATTAAGATTTTTCTTAAAGTATCAAATGATATTGTGTGAGTCACAGGGTCTAAATTTTAAGGTTAAGATCTAGTTTCTTGAGCATAAGAGTATTTTTATTAAGTGAATGCAGAACAATCATGTAAGCTGGTTACACATGTAATCAGTATGTAGAAATAGTGGTTTGTGAGAAGAGATTTTATTTCAGGGTTTCTTCAAGTTTCTCAGATGACGTAAAGTCAGTCTGTGATGTGTTTAAATAATAGACTAGTGATTAAAATATCTTCAATAATGTGAGTCATAATACATTGTTATAATTAAACATTTTATTCATTTTAAAGCTATAACATTGAAATTGAAAAGTAGGATCACAGATTTTGTGGTAGGTAAGGGAAATAGATAATTATACAAGTTTATAACAGCACTTTTCATGGGAATAATTTTCATGTGAATTATTTCGTCTGTTAACATGAGAATCTAAAATCAAGTAGAGATCATTACTAATTGTCATGAGTTACTGCATATCAAGGCTTATCAAGAATTATTTGTTCAGTCTCGGAGTAACTTCTCAACAGGTGTTTTCAACGAAGGCCTGGCTGAGAAGAGGCTGGAGACTTCTTCACTGTTGGGAGAATTGCCAGTTTTGTTTGAACATCTGTGTTTTCAGATTTTTTTGTAGCATTACTGCAAGTCATTTTAATATGAACTCATAGAAGAAAATATATTGAGCCAGCAGAATAAGATCTACTAAAATAAATTTAAAAAAAAGAACACATTCTCATGTGGTGTTTTATAGTTCAATTTCAAAAGATTCACATTAGAATTGACTTTAGACTTTTTATACTAGGAAGAGAAAATCCTTTTGATATATGTGCATGGCCTTTTCAATAAAAAGGAATTAAATGCATGGTAAATACAGTCAATCCAAATATATAAAAATGAGATTGCAGCATAGAGGACTAAAGTAGCATAGCATAGAAAATAAACTCAGTATTTTAGAATGAAAAGGTGAAAGAAAAAGTATATCTTAACTAGTAACATTATCCATTGTCTGTCTTTAGTCCCACATCTCTAACACAAGAGATTCTTGACGATAGGGACTCTGATGAGCTCCCAAGATCGTGAACTTTAAAACTTCATATTCTAGCATGTTAGGATTTCAGTAACAAACATAAAATGTGTGAACATTTTCTTTCTTCATATATAATTTTGAGGTTAATTTTCTGCCATGTTGTTCTAAGAGAGCACATTTTGATTAGTTACATGCTCTCATTTTCATAAACACTATATACATCTCTACTTATAAGGGGAATGATGGGCTAACTAAGGAAGGGGATATCTCCTATAGCAGGCCTCCAAGAGTGTCTTCTCCACTTGTCTTTTTTTTAATTTTTAAAAGATGGAAGGTTTAATTTCTGCTTTAACATGAGTACATAATCATAGCACATTTTTTCTCTTTTATAATATATTAAAAATAGTATAAATAAGATACAATAAAGCTGAATTAAAAGATAATCAGCCTCAAGGTGTTTTGAGTGTCTTTGAAGAAGAGTTTAAAATTCAAATTATTATCATCATTTTTAATACATTGTTACTTTTATTCTTAGTTTTGTGTGCACCTATGAAAATCTCAGCTCCAATGTGAATTTGGATGCATTTGTTTATTTTGCAATAAATGAAAACACAAAAGTATATATTTTTTAATTATATGAATTACAAACTTGAGAACCTTATTTTTACGATTAGTTGATATACCTACTCAGAGGTAATAACCTCTACATCCATTAGTTTTTAGTTTTCAACAAAATTTCCAAAATACCAGCCAGGTAAAATATTTCATCATCCTTTCACCAAGATGATAATTCATCAATCTTTTAAAAATGTAAGAGTAGGATAATTTAAAAAAATTTTCTGAGCATATGAGTGAGTTTATAATTTTACATAAGTTCTAGGAGTGAATTTTATAATTTCAATAAATATTATCATATCCAAGTCTACATGGAGGATTTTGGAATTTTAATCTCGGCATCTTCATTTTATTTAAGGCTGTATGTGATCATGAAAACTATCACATCATAGAAAAGCATGTCCTAAAATTCCAATCTTAATTGCTTGAACATATTTTTTAGTCAAGAAAAAAATTTCCATGTTCTAAAACATTATCAATCACCTGTGACATATTGTTCAAAACACATTCAAAAAATTTAAAACAAACAAACAAACATAATTTCCAGAAACTTTTCTTAATGAAGT